CAAACAGGTTGAAGTATAGTTAAAATTGATAAAGGTTCCTCCAGTCAACTCTACAAACAATCACGTTAGATTTGGATTACAAAATATCTAACTTTGTATTACTTTTAGAAGTAAACTACTAATAAATAAATATATATTCTTGTCTGCCCATCCTTTTCTCAGTCTTCCATATTTTCAGCTGCCACCTTGTTTGCAGAAACTTGTTTCTCTTTCATGTAGATACACTATACATTACTTTATACTGTACACTGATGTCAGTGTACTGTCTGATACATGTATAAAAATATTTTCCACAGATTTTTCCTTCCTTTTTTATGGTACAAAACAGTATGATAACATGTACTATATAATACTTATAACTTCAAAGTTTGGTTATTATATGCTGTATAAAGCTAACCACACGCATCATAGAAAATATTGCTTCTATCTTCTTCTTCAGAGTTTTATTACTTCGAAAATCAGGTATGTAATTTTTTTCTTCTTTAACTCAACATATTATTGTTCTTGAGTTCTTTTTTGATCAGTTCTTTTTCCCTGCTATCTTCATTCTACTTAAGTTATTTTGTAATAGCTTATAGAAACATAAAGAAAGAAGAAAAAGAGAACAAACTGCTGTTGTGCTTCTTCATTTTTTTTCCAGTTCTATATCGAGATTTTAGGCGATGTTTCTCTTATTTGTTTTAGCTCAAAAACACTTCTATTTTTATTTTAAGGAAAAAAATCATTCTAACTACTAAGTTTGATTGTAACATACTATGAAATCATCCACACACAACTTAAAAAATATTGTTTTTGTCTTCTTCCTTCATAGTTCTGTTTCAAATATCAAGTTTATAATTTTGTTCTTATTTAACTCAACTTACCTCTTTAGTTATTTTTTTTTACTGAAGTTATAACTTATAGAAACATAAACAAAGAATAGAAAATCAGAAAATGCTGCTGTGTTTCTTCATATCCTATTCTATGTGGAGATTCTATATCATATTTTTCTTATTTGTTTTAGCTAAAAAACAAACACTTCTATTTGTTCCAAAAAAGTGCACTGTAA